GATTTTAATGGATTCTGTGGGATTTTGTAGAATTTTCGTGGATTTTTGACATTTGATAAGTTTTAAAAAGAGTCAAAGACTAAGATAATAAAAAAAAAATAATGTCTAGATAAATAATAATAATAATAATTCTCCATAATATCTTATCCTCTAAAATAGCATTCACCCACATATTCATAGCTATGCTAGTCCTCCAAGCATTAGCGTCTTTTCGCTCTTGCTCCTGGGTTTGAATAATAGGTTCAAAAGTATGATCTTCATTAATTGGTAACGTTGAAGATGAAGGTTCATCCACCGCTTCAATTGGAAATTCATCAGAACGACATTCTTTACGTAGAAAATTATGTAGTTTTGCACATATTAACACAAGTTCTACTTGTGTCTTAAATAAAAATGGAGGTGCTGACATAAAAATTGTGAACCTTGATTTAGAAATACCAAATATTCTCTCGATCACATTCCTTAAAGATGCATGACGAAGATTGAACAATTCGTTCTCATTTTCAAGGTCATTACCCTATCCTGCAAAATTTTGTAGATGATATCTTACACCTCGAAATGGAGCTAAAAATTGGTGTCGATTAAGAAATCCACAATCCACAAAAAAATATTTACCTAATTATATATGCAATATATATAATATTAGTATAATAATAATTATAATTATTATTATTTAAAGAATAAACATTTAGATATAGAGAAATATATATATATATATATATATATAATATTTCTTCTTTTAAAAAATAAGCTAATGAAGGCATAAATCCTAAACCCTAAAAAATTAGATACTGCAATATCTTATGTTAATTTTCTTTTTTTTAAAATATAAAAAAGTCCTAATTTCACAATATAAAAATAAAAATAAAAATTCATAGTAAATAAAATAAAATAATTGTTGAGTCATAAAAGAAGGAGGGATAAGAGTAACAAACTTAAGGAAATGAGAGAAATCGCAATTTTTATGCTGAGAGCGTTCTTCCCCCAACTAAGATCCATTTTCATCTTTCACCTTTTTCTTTTCTTGACGTGTGTAATAAAAAATTACTACTTAAAAGTAGAAATTTCAAGCATTTTTTTGTGTTATATAAAAGAACAAATTCAACTACATAGATTAAAATAAAGCAAGTCAATTAAAGAAAACGAACCAAAAAATAGAGCAAGTCAATAACACTATTATTTACATATCAGAGTTTCACAAAATAGGGGAATGGGATGAGAACAATACTAAAATATTATATATGAACAATGAATAATAGTGCAGTATTATTAGCAGAGAAAAAATGGAGAAGACAGGAGCATAAAAAAAAAAGATGAAAAACTCACTTGAAAATTCTTAAAAAGTCACTTCAAACAATCCTTCAAAATCCGATGGGTTTGGATGGGATTGTTTTATGAATTTGGTATTTATAAATAACACTAAAGTCCTTCAAAATCTCTCACACACAACAATCCTTTAAAATCTTTATATTTTTGAATACCAATGGATTATTTTTAAGTTGTAAAAAATCTCAAATGAATACCAATGGATTTTAATGAACTCTTTAAAAAATCTTGAAAATCTAGATTGAATACCACTGGATTGTTTTTAAGTGACATAAAATCCTGATTGAATACCAATGGACTTTTTTACTCAAAAAAAGTCTTTTAAAATCCTACAAAATCCTAAACCAATACACCCCCCTTACACTCTCACTGTTACCGACAATAAATCTATCATTACTGGACTGTTGGACAATTTTACTCTTGTGAGACCACAATTAAGGTTTCCCAATTGGATTTCATATAACAATCGCTATATGTCTTACAATTATTTTCGTTTTTTATTCATACAAAGTTTAGTGATTAAAACGACTCTATAAAATGCTATTGAACATGTAATCAGAAATTAGTAAAAAATAATTGTTAAAAATATCGTTTTTTTATTCATTTGAAGACGTCTTTATATATATTAATAGGAGAAAGAGACACTTAATATCTTCATATATTTATTTTAATTAATGATTACTGTAAAAAAAAATAATTAAAATTTGAAAATACATAATTGTATCATATGATTTTTTTAATTCTACAGAGTGAGTAATTTTAAAAATTATAAAGTATGTAGTATGAATTTAAGAATAAAAATATCCAATAAATGAGAAAATGAAAACTATAAGAATAACTATTAAAAATATTGTCGTATGTCCGCATGTTGAGTGTCTTTTATTCTTCATTTACACTCGATTTTTGGTACTCTTTTTAGTAATTGTAGATATTTATATATGTTATTTTACCCTCTAAATTGAAAGAATCAAGTTATACTAAAAGAGTATACTCTTTTAGTAGCAAAATTTTAATGAATTTCCTCCATTTGTACAGAAAATTTGAGAAGGCAGAGATCCACAACCATAGCTGTGGATTTGGAGCTCGAGCTGTGGAAATCTAGGAAGGAATTAGGAGTTCAGAAAGTTGCAGCTATAGCTGTGGTTCTGCAGTTATAGCTGTAGAAATCTGGAATGCCCATTTTTTGGTCCAGAGACTTGGAGCTAAAGCTGCAAGTTCACGGCTAAAGCGCTGAGGCATGGGAGATCAAGAAAAGTTACAGAAACTCACAGCCATAGCTGTGGTTTCATAGTTATAGTGTTGGGAGTTGCTTAACCACGAAGGAGTCTCCACAACTATGACTGTGGATCCATAGTTGAAGTGGTGAAGCTTATTTCACCATGAAGAACTCTCCACAGCCATAGCTGTGGATCTACAGCTGCAGCCGTAGGAGAAAAAATCTCATTTTTTGGCCCCTGTTTCGAAGCTCATATAAAAGGGAAAGAAGGAGAAAAACAGGGGCATCACGAAACACAAAGAGAAAAAGAGAGGATTGGGAGCACGAAGAGGAGAAAACAGGGCAAGAGTGAAGATTGGGAAGTTCGATCATTTGGGAACGAAGATCAACCCCTTCTCTTCATCTTTTAATTTGTGATTTCTTCTTCTACTCCTCTGATCTTGTAATGGCCATGTGTGGCTAAATCTTTTGAGGATTGGTCCTGGTGTAACTACTAACTCTTCTATTTCTTAAATCTATATATGCATTTCATTATTATTACTTGTGCTTTATTCTACTTTTAATGTTTATGCTGACTTGATCACCTGTTATATGAATATTTGGTTTTTGAATCCTGTTGGAAAACGTTTTTGAGAACCCAAACTGAATCTTGCACCTAATCATTTTTTGTTCTAGGGATAGACTTGATATAGTTAGTCACCTTTATTCAAGTCATTGTTCTTAATGCAAGGTGTTAGTCTCAAAACATAGAGGAATCATGTTTTGAGATTAATTACTTTAGGATTCAATTTTGAGGGATCTTATTGAATTACTAAATGAACATGAAAGTCATGAAGATGAAATCATATTTATTTTAAGAAAATTTAAGAGTTAACAAGTGCTCTTGGGTCCAATCCTTGTTTTATATAATTGTTCTTATAACTTTTACATTACCGTTTTAATTTTGTTTCACATTAGCTCACTTCCAATCATATCAACATCTCTTTATTAATTATTGGAGTAAGAATTACTAAACTCTCAAATCCCTGAGGACGATACTTAAATACTACATCGAAACTTGGTCCACTTGTCAAGTGAAGTGTTTGCAAAAACCTCACCACCGCACTCACATAATGATGCAACAAGAATCTTAACTGTTTTGTAGAAAGCAATTTATTATACTCAACTTCTCTTCTATTTCACTTTTATCTTCTTTTATTTATTTATTTATTTTTACAATTTTTATTTTTATTTTTATTTCTCATCATATTATTTGTCACTAATCTAGATCCTCTCGAGCCTCTCTTTTCAACTACTTCATCCAAAATCTCAACTATATCCATTATATAATTTATATTCTCTTTCCTCTCCTATTACTGCATAATAACAATTTTAAGATTTTCGATGTTGATTACATGATGACAAGAGGGAATGGAGATGGAGAGATCCAAATTGTTTTATTACATTTATTAGTTTCTTTTTTTTTTTCCCTCTATTTATTTATCCTCTTCTCCCCTTCATAGACTCCGAAAATGGGGGTACATGCAGGTTTAACATTTCCCTAGTTGAAGTTATAAGAGTGAAAAGGCGCAAAGCTTTCGGAAATTTCACATATATTCGTACCAATTTCCTTTGAAGACAAGTCTGTTTTCGTACAATTAAGATTCTGGCAGTCTCAAGTTCATGTTAATATACCTAGTAGCTTTGGTGAGTGGTGCACCAAATTACTCGCTCACTAATTTCTAAAGCAATGTTTTAAAAAAATTTAAACTCATCCTTCAACAACTTAAGATACTGGTTCAATATAGTATAACTATGATTGAGTGGTAAACAAATTAGTATTATTAAAATAATAATGATAATTAAATAATACATGAAATAATATTATAACTTTATATAACATTTAAAAAAAATATAAAAAAGTTTAAATCAAATATATCATAACAGTAAGTTTAAATTTCATTGCAACTTTTTTTATTTGTTAAAATTTATTAAAAAAAATATTTTTTAATCTTACCATAATGAACTTCCATAATTTTAATAAATTTTCGTAAATAGTAAAATATGTATTTAAAAAATGCGTGCTAACATTTTGCAAATTAAATTTATAAGAAAATAATACAATGTTGCATTTCCTCGCTGTTCCAATAGCTGTTTTTGTCGCATAACTTTAGATTTGCAATAACAAATAGACTGATGTTTAAATTTATTATATTTAAAAGATATAAAGTAGGGCACAATTAAAATTTTAGAATTTCACTGGTTCTGAAGAATTTTTCATTTGCTTTCTGTAAAATTTGACCAGTTTTGCAGCACTAAAATGTTGATATAGCTTTTGGTATACAGTCTTGCAATCATTTTATTTCGTCCACTCAAGGTGATCACTTGAGGTAAGTGTGAAGATTTTAACAATGCTATAAGCTTGAGGTAAGGCCTAGTGATGAATATAAAGCAAGAAAAAAAAATCAGTGACCCAGTGGAGATGCAACAACAATAATACTACAAACTAATAATTAATACGAGGAATACAATACTACTATAAGATATATATACACTTTTGTGCCCCAGTCTGGGGTTGGCTAGCTAGCTTGGTCCTTAATTCAAGCCAAAGATAGTGGAGAGATTGCTAAACTAAACCCACTCTCACCTGATTTTGACCCACCATTTGAGTTTTGACATGCTACCGAAATGACACAACAATACAAGTTATTCAAAAGACTGCACAATGCGCCCGCATTGGAGTTCAACTCAATTCAATGTTTCCCACTACTAAAGAATCATTGTTGCTTCAAGAGTTTGCCTCTTTCTATCACACACACACACATACATTTAGAATATCCCTTGTCTCTTTCCCATGAAATAATTTGGCCAATTGAATAGCTTGCTTCAACTAATGCACTTGAATTTCCACCTTGGATTGCAAGTTGTGTGCACTTGAATTGACTTGATCAGTAGCAATCTCCTCTGCCTCGTAGGTGGAGTGAACGCCATAGAGCACGTAGAAGATGGTGATGAGGCATGCCCATATGGCGAAACGTTGGAAAGAGAGGATTTTGAGCGTGGTCATGAGGAAAACGTTGAGAAAGATGGACATGGCGGGTGGCCATGGCATGAATGGCACTGACCAATGGGTGGAGGCCATGGTGGTGGTGTTTGGCGCCACGTGTTGGAAGAAGGCAGTGATGGTGATCATAAAGGCACCAAAAAGCAAGAGGCCCCACCATTGCTGCTTGAATTTCCACGCAATGGAGAAGCATAGTGCACTCAGGGAAAGGAGAAAGAGGAACAAGAGAGTGTGAAAAGGTGGGGCATGGCTAGTGATTACATATCGACGGTATATCAGAGCATTGGCTACCATGTAGAACACCATTAGTGTGCCGATGCTGATCAACTCAATTATAATGTCAAGCTCCGTGAATAGTGCAATTGATGCTGTGCAAACTCCTACATCAACCAACAAACACACATTTATATATATATCCTTCACATTTCTCTCTATCCTAATTTCTTGTTTTATTTTGTTAATTAACCTCCACTTTCTCCTCTTATTATTATTATTTTTTTATTTTTATTATGTTTTCATGGGATGACATTCATTTGTGTTGACCTTGTCAAGTTTTAATTAAATTAAAGTTACATGTGGATGTTGAATCATCATTTCATTCCCTTCATTAAATTAACAAAATATTATAGAATATAATTAAAATAATGTGTAGTTTTAGTAATTGTTAATAAAACTATACATCTAATAAAGTTAAAATAAAAACCCCATGCATCTATATACAAAAAAAATGTTACACATTGTGATATATATAAAAAAATGTCGTTATAAATATAATACATGTAAGTATAAATTTATTTGATATATATTTGTACAAAATTTAAGTATTGATTTTAAATAAAATTTAATAATATATAATATATCATTATAATTTATATATTTATTTTTTAATAATATATCAACATATATATTATATTAAATATAATATAAATAAATATAATTTTTAATAATAAATATTGTGTTATTATAATGTGTCACTTCAAAAAATAATTTTTTCCTATATATTTAGTTTTACACTTTTTTCTCCTTTTTGAAGCATTGTTTAGTTTAACTTTGATAGTTGAGACAATAGAAAATTATAACTCATGAATGAAACTTAATCGGTGTCGAAGTTTTTGTTTTTTCATATATTCATAATGGATATACCATTCCAACTTAGCACAATTATATCCCGTTGACTTTAAAATCTTTTTGGAAAAGGATAATGTTTTAAATTGTGTTTCTTATAATTTTATGAACTATTATATTATGATAAAAATTTACTGTGTTTTAGCTTTTGAGAAAAACAAGATGAAAGTTTCTATATTACACTACTGGTTAATTGCATTAATTTGATAAAAATATTTTGACATTTTTAAATATTTAAATTTTAAGATTTAATCCTTTTTCTTTTAGACAATAAGACTTAATCTTAAATCTACATGTAAAATGTGTATAACTTCGGAAATAAAAAAAATTATATATCACATGTTATTAAACTTTCACCAATATCTATTTATTTATAGAAAATTGTATTCATATACTCGTGATGTATATATGCGCACAGAGAAAGATAAAAAAAAGTTAAAAAGAGAATCCTAACACCTGTTTTCTTTTTTGTGTGTGTGTCTAAAACTACCACTATTGATTACTTATCTATATATTTAATGATAAATATTGAATTAATAAAATGGTAAAAAATTCGTATTCAATTACTATTATCTTCAATCACTTTAAATATTCTATTATTTCTTAACAAAAAATTTAAATACAATTTGATTGACACATAGTTTCAACCAATCAAAATATATATATATATA